AGATCATTTGCTCCAAGTTTATCCCTCTCCATTTTTGTAAAATAGAAGTGTAATATTTGCAATGTTGCAGTCCTCTGGCAACTTACACATTTAGGGAGGATTGGAAGATTAAGGCCAAAGTCTACACAATTTCCAGCCTTGCATTTCTCAGCAATCACAAATCCATCCTATCTGGGTGACTTCTCCACTTTGAATCTTCCCAACGTATTGAAGCACATCCTCGTTATCTATTATTTTATCTTATCTAATATCACTACTGCATCATTTAATGCTACAAAGTCCGCAATCCAAAGTACAAATTTTGTACTTCAGCCATGCCATCAGTTTCCTGTAGAAAATCTCCTTTTGGTTCCTAATCAGCCCCAACATTCTTTGACCATCCTTTTACTGTTTATGTTTCCGAAAGTTATTTGGCTTCCTTTTATGTTAGCTGGATGTTAATCTACTTTCAATTTACTCCCTCTTTGTTTCTTGAATTTCCTTCTTCAGGCTTCCTTTGTAATTTTTACATTTAGCTTAGCTTTCTATTACATTGTGAAATTTACAATTGTCATACAATGTTTCTTGCCTTATTATAGGAAGAAAACATTGCATGTACATAAGCTTTTATATCACCTGCAGATATTTCAAAGCACTTTACAGTCAGAGGTAATTTTGAAGTGAAGCCAATTTTGCCATAGGAAATACAACAGCTAATCATCATCAGCAGCAGCAGCACTCACTCACGTGGAGTATGATTGTCCTCTATAAGAGTGTCCATTTGTGGGTCTTCAGATGGCTGAAGAGGCCACAGATTCTATTGCAGTATGGGCATTGGTGGGTAGTAATGGTGGTTGGAGGTGGTAGCGGGTGGGCCTTCCTTATATTCTGTGTGTGCAAGTGTCACTTCTGCTCAGTGGCGCGGCGGAGATTGTTTTCATGGTGTATAGCTCCCTGCTGAATGATGTTTCTCCAGTGATTCCGGTTTGTGGCCATGTCCTCCCAGTTGTTGGTATCGATGTGAAATCTCTTGAGGTTGGTCCAGATGTTATCTTTAAAGTGTTTCTTTTGGCCACTCAGGGGCACACTGACTTTCCTTCACCGAGGAGTACATGATCTGTTTTGGGAAGCGCACGTTGGGCATTTGGCTGACATGGGCCAGGGTCAATTGGAATTGCCACTGAATTATGGTGGTGGTGATGCTGGCTATTTTGGCCTCGTCCAAGACATGATGTTGGTGTGCTTGTTTTCCCAGGTGATCTGCAGGATTTTTCATCAGGATCTTTGGTGTTGTTGTTCTAGTGCTTTAAGGTGCCTGCTGTATGTAGGCCACTTTCAGCTTCATGTTGCAGTACAGGAAGAATAATGGCTTTTTAGCCAATGTGTGTGTAGTAAGCTCTTACAATGAGCTGTGTAATAATGACATGATGACCTGTTTTCTGATGTCAACTAAAGAATAAATATTATCAAGATGACTTGAGTAACTCCTATTTTTCTCTTGAAATAGTGTCATGGGACCTTTTGCGTAAAATACGTTCAAGTGATTGGGGAGCTACAGCCTCGGTTTAACACCCGATTTGAAAGACAGCATCTCCAACAGCACAGAGCTCCCTCTAAAATCAAAATATGTCTACATTTTGAAGATCTCCCATGTCTTAAGAACTGTTTGTCTGGCAATGTTTGATTTTAATCCACTTGAGTCAGGTGCCTTTTCAATTCACTTTTTACTGTTAAGCCTTTCTATACTTGATTGTAATTTGTCTTTTTCCATAACTATTTTCAATTATCGGTGCACACACCAATTACTTTGCCTCATGCTCATGCTTAATAACATGCTTCGTTCCCTTGTTTTAAGTTTAAAAATGTAACGTCTGATTCTTTACAATTCTACCTTTTTAACCATTCCATCTCCACTCCCACCCCTCTGGCAATTATGCCAATTGCACACACGCTCCACCTAGTAACTTGGGTCATCATAACATTTATATTTTTGTGGCCAAATGGATCTGTTCTTTCTTTCAGCCCACTTCCCCCACCTATTTTCTTATGATTCCACATTGACCCCGATGCCTTACTGGCATCTAGCGCTGTCTGCTCCATGTTCTTTCCCATCTTTTTATTTGAATGTTTCCCCAGCTCCATCAATTCCTCTGCAGCAAAATTTTCTGAAGAAGGGTCTAGGCCCAAAACGTCAGCTTTCCTGCTCCTCTGATGCTGCTTGGCCTGCTGTGTTCATCCAGCTCTACACCTTGTTATCTTAGCTGTATGGAGAGTTGTTTTTCTCTCTCAGCCCATTGCTCACTTGTGTTTCCATTGTAAACACTCAGATTTTATATCATGCCATTAATATTTACAGGAAAACATACTAAAGCACTTCAGAACTCCATGCCTGGATAGCTGAATGAATGGGCTTGTAGTCAGTTAGGAGAAGCAAGAGCTTCATTTTGGTCTGGGTAAGGAAGGTACATGAACTGGAGAATGTGGCAGAAACTGTATGAGGCAAGATCATGAACAAATTGAAATGTGAAACAATTAACATTGAAGAACTTTGAAACAATAGAGATCAGTACATGGAAGATATGAAGCTGGCTTTATTTCCCATTCCTACTTTCTCTACTTGATTTAACCAAATGCTTTGCCATACCACTTCTGAGGATAGTTAAGAGATAATTATATATTGCTGCATTGCCATCATATTTCTGCCAGACAACAAAAAATCTATAAAAGAATTTAGTGAGCTAGTATGTTTGTTTCTACAATCCAGGAGGCTGGTTGGTTTTAGATAATCAATCAGACACATTATGACATCTCTGGAGCAGATGCGACTTGCCTTCTGGCTTAGAGATAGGGATACTACCACAGTGCCACAAAAGCCCTAATGGTCAGATTTACTGGTTGCAGCCTTTTATTGCAGGTTGTAAAACTGAATTCAAATTATCAGCCACCATTGTGGGATCTGAACTAATGCTCTTTAATTTACATTCTGAACACTGACACTATTTTTTAAAATTGTGCATTTTGGAAGGGATTTATAAAATACTTTTAATCAATATTTTGTAAAACATTACATTGAGAAACATACATCTCCCTTCCCAATTTGTCAAACTTCATACGTTTTACACAATGTGCATAATATTTACAATATAAGGGTTTAGTTAAACTATAAAACTGTTTAAACTTGAAAGCCCCAAAATCTTTTGTTCAGAGCAATGAAAAACAGTCAGTCTGTCATTCACAAGATAACAATAGATGTCCCACAGTGGACAGAAAACACGAGGAACAATTTTCAAAATATCAAATGAAACGCATCCCTCATGGTTAATGCATTTATAAACTCAGTGGTTCATCATTTCTGTTGCTGCTGTTTTTAAAATCCAACTGCAATATTGAATATGGTAAATGAATTTATGAGCTCATCAACATCAATATTTACAGAAGATCTCAAAATGAACACATTCATGACATAGATCACTTGCAAAGAAGGAGGTTGTCAATGATCTATCAGCAATAAGACAATAAATCAGCTGTCCCAACATGTACTGGGACAATGGCTGGGCCAGAAATTATTTTCATCTATCAAAGAAACAGATAATAGTATTACAAACTTCGAGCTGCAAGAAACCAGAGGAATTCTGCAGAGCTGCATCTCTGCAGCAAGAATGTCAACATTTAAAAAAAAAGGACATGTGGAAGTTTATAATGGATCCTCAAAATGTTCCTTATAACATCAAGAAGACATTCAAAAATATTCAAGCATTAGAGTGATTGATTCATAGCCCCCACCTCAGTGCAGCTGACAGAGAAAGCTGGACGTTGGGCAATGTTATGAAAAAAAGGGTCTGCATCAATGTGTGATGCATGTTTGAGTATCAATGTGTGTTACTTTTGTCACTGTGTTTATCTCTATCAGTGCCTGGTTATGTCTTGGTGTCAGTGTGCGAGCGTCTGTCAAGTGTGTGCGTATGTCTTTGTGTCAGCGTGTTTGTTTCTGCGTCAGCATGAGTCTGTATCTCAGTGTCGGTGTCACAATATCTGTAGTGTATGTTTGCATTAGTATGTCCCTGCGTCAGTATCTAAGAGAGTGTCTGTCAGTGTCTGTATGTGTCTATCAGTGTATGTCTCAGTGTCAATGTGTGAATGCCTGTGTCAACATCAATATCAGTGTGTGAGCATCTCTGTCAGTGTCTGAATGTCTCAGTCAATATCAGTGTGTGTCAGTGTCTGTGTGTCAGTCTGTGTGAATGCCTGTGTCAATGTCAATATCAGTGTGTGTCCATGTCTGTCTGTCAGTTTCAGTGTGTGAAAATCTCAGTGTCAGTGTCAAAATCAGTGACTCACTGTGTGAATGTCTGTGTCAGTGTCAATATTAGTGTGTGAATGTCTCAGTCAATATCAACGCGTGTCAGTGTCTGAGTGAATGTCCCAATGTCAACATCAGTGTTGCTGTCTGTATGTCAGTGTGTGAATATCTAAGTGTCAGTGTCAATATTAGTGTGTCAGTGTCACTATCAGTATGTGAGTGTCTGTATCAGTGTGTAAGTGCCTCAATGTCAATATCAGTAGGTCTGTGAGTCAGTGCATGTATGTTAGTGGAGGTATGTGAATAATGTTAGTGTCTCTGCGTCAGTGTGTATAGCTGCGGATGCGTCTCAGTGTCCGTGTGCATATCTCTGACAGCCTATGCGCTAGGACGAATTCCGGGCCACTCTCTGAGTGGGGTTTGAGCCCGGTTCACAGGTGTTGGTGAATGTGTACTTACTAAGAACCGGGAGGAGCTGGTGCCCTGATCAATAGCACCAACCAGAGGTCCCGTGGCCATCCTCAACGAGAACCTCCTGCCACTCTCGCGCTCTCCGATAAACCAACTGCCTCCCGGTGGCTAAGCAAATCAGGCGCGGCTCCCGTCTCCACAGCGACCGCTTTGTGACATGCCCAGACCATTGTCTCGTCTCCCAGGCTGCCGCAGACCTGCGCGGGCACTGGCCACACCCTCCCGCCCTCGGCCCCACCCCCTCCACGTTATGGCCAATCAGCTAACAAAGGTGTGGTCCCAAACAGCCAATGAACAGGAAGAAGAAGTCGACCTCTGGGCCCTTTCAGCCTCGCTATCAGATGTGGTAGTGTCAGTGTTGGATGGAGGGTGAGTAAGGTCGGAAATCACACTGCACCAAGTTATAGTCCAAAACACAAGCTTTCGGAGCTTCAATCCTTCTGCAGGTGTTAGTGAGAGTTAGTATCAGACACAGAATTCATAAGGAAAAGATCAAAGGGTTACACCCCTGATGAGGATGTGCTAAACAAACTTAAGATGCTGTTAAATCTTTAATCAGTCAGAAGGTTGTAATTAATTAATATGTATATGTTAATCCCTGAATTACTTTGAAGTCACTGTCCTGAGAGAACTAAAGGTTTTACCAGTGTGAAGGAGAGGTGACATTTTAGGTCAGATATGCATGGTGGATGTGAGACCTTATTTAGAATCTGTTTGTGTTTTGGTTTGGAGTCAGACTGGTTTTATTTCTGAAGTAGAAATTTATAAAATGCCACATTGATTGACTACCTATGAATTGTGTGCTTTTTGAACAAAATAGGTGTCTGTAAATACAAATTCACCCCATAGATTTACGTGTGTGTGTGTGTGTGTATGTATGTATGTATGTATGTGTGTGTGTGTGTGTGTGTGTGTGTGTGAGTGAGTGAGAGAGATAAGTGAGGGAGAGTGACTGACTTAAGTATGTGTGTGTATGTGCTTGTGCTTGAGAGAGGGTGTGTGTAAGAGAGAGAATCTGTGTGAGTGTATGTGTAAGAGAGAGAGAGGGGATGTGTGTGTGTGTGTGAGAGAGAGACAATGTGTGTATGAGAAGCTGTGTGACTGTAAGTGTGTGTGAGAAACTGTGTGTATGAGAGAGCATCTGTGTGAATGTGTGTACGTAAGTGAGTGTGTGTGTGTATGTATGCGTGTGTGTGAGAGTGTATAGTGTGGTGGGGTCACCTGTAGTACGACGTGAATCCAAGATCCCAGTTGAGGCTGTCCTCATGGGTACCAAACGTGGGAATCAGCCTCTGCTCGGCAACTCTGCGTTGTATATCCCGAAGTCCACCTTGGAGGACATTTACCCAAAGATCCAAGGCCGAATGTCCTTGACTACTGAAGTGTTCCCCCACTGGGAGGGAACATCCGTGTCTGGCAATTGTTGTACGGTGTCCATTCATCCATTATGCTAGCATCTGCATGGTTTCAATGTACCATGCCTCAGGACATCCTTGCCTGCAACGTATGAGATAGACAGCGTCGGCCGAGTCACCTGAGTATCTGCTGTGCACTTGGTGGGTAGGCACTTGGGAACAGAATTGATTGCAGAAGCGGTAATGCAAAGGTTAGAACGAACTGTGCTCCCCACTATACATCCCAAACTCTGGGACCGCTATGTAGATGACACCTTTGTGATTATCAAACATACAAGACTAGAAGAAACCCATCGACACGTAAATAACATCCTCGCTGGAATAAAATTCACAAAAAAAGAAGAGAACAATAACCAACTACCCTTCCTAGACATAGTGGTAGAACGTTAAAACAACAGAGAACTCCAGACTAGCATATACAGAAAGACCTCACATACAGATCAGATACTTAATTAATCCAGCAATCACCCCAACACCCTTAAACAGAGCTGCATCAGGACGTTATTCAAATGAGCCACAACACACTGCAGCAATTCGGAATTGCACAAAGCAGAACAGAAGCACTTATACGGAGTTTTTGAAAGGAGTGGATACCCAAAAAGCAAATCCGCTGTTACCTTTGTGACAGATCACAGCAAGAAGACACAACATGGCCAGACACGCTAATCACCCGTGCATCAGAGACATATCATAGATGACCACAAGACTACTCAGACCCCTAGCTATCAGGGTAGCCCACAAACCAACAACCACCCCGTGACAGCTATTGACGAACGTAAAGGATCCCATACCCACAACCAATAAAACTAACATAACATACAAAATACCATGCAAGGACTGTGAGAAACATTACATAGGCCAAACTGGAAGAAAACTAACAATAAAGACGCATGAACACCGACTAGCCACCAAGAGACATGGTCAATTCTCACTGGTCTCAATACTCACGGACAAAAAAGGACACAAATTCGACCAGGACAACACATCCATAATAGAACAAGCCAAACACAGACATGCCAGGGAATTCCTGGAGGCCTGGCATTCCGACCAGAACTCCATCGACAGACACGTTGAACTGGACCCGATATACAAACCACTGAAAAACAGAACCAGAAGTAATGCCAACCACCCCACCAAACCGAGCCGTATAAATAACAAGTGGGACAGAACACCAACGCTTCGCCGTAGGCGCACTGACAAATGTTACCTAGCAGGGTGATGAAACGTCTGCAACCAAACACACCGGCTCGGCAAGCAAGTCTACAATCTCAGCCAATAGCCAAGTTCAGAACCCATAAGGATGGCCTTAACTGGGATCTTGGGTTCATGTCGCACTACAAGTGACCTCACCACACTATACTCTCTCAAACACACACACGCATTCATAGCATACATAGACATGCACACTCACTTAAACACACACACACACTCACACAGATCCTCTCTCATACATACACTGTCTCCCTCACACACACGCACACATTCTCACTCTCCCTCACTCTCTCTCTGTCTCACACACACACACACGTGAATCTATGGGGTGAATTTGTATTTACAGATACATTTGATTTTGTTCAAAAAGCACATAATTTATAGACAGTCAGTCAATGTGGCATTTTATAAATTCCTACTTTAGAAATAAAACGAGTCTGACTCCAAACCAAAACACAAAACAGATTCTAAATAAGGCCTCACACCTTACATGCATTGTCTGACCTAAAATATCACCTCTTCTTTACGCTGATAAAACCTTTAGTTTTCTCAGGACAGGGACTTCAAAGGAATTCAGGGATTTACATATACATATTAATCAATTAAAACCTTCTGAACGATTAAAGATTTAACAGCATCTTAGATTTGTTTAGTACATCCTCATAAGTGGTGTGACCGTTTGCTATTTTACTCATAAATTCTGTGTCTCATACTACCTCTCTCACTAACAGCTGAAGAAGAAGGAAGACTTCAAAAGCTTGTGTTTTCAAATAAACCTGTTGGACTATAACCTGGTGTTGTGTGATTTCTGACCTCGCTAACAGAGGAAGTGTATGGATCACGCTTCAGGATTTAGTGACTGACTTCTCAAACTGGTCATAATTCCTATAGCTGGAATGAACAGATACTACGATCAATTGAATGGTGATCATTGTTAAAAGGAGACACGAAGTTTAAGCTTTTCAATATGCTGTCATTAGGACTGGGATGCAAGAACCTGGCAAAGGAGCACCCATTTATACAGCGTGGAATCAGAGTGCTTATTGGTCTGGCCATTGTCGGCATGGTGATAGGACAGGAATTGTTAACTATCAGTCATATTTCCGACACCTGGCAGGTAGATCCTGATTGATCAGGGGAATGCAGTAGAGATTGGCATTCTCCATGACCTTCTTTCCCAAAGAATAAGGTATAATCTGTGTGTGATTTCCTTTTGTTTTCATAAAACAGGGTGCTGTATATTAAAAATGTAGGTTGTAGCTCATGCAAATTGACATATCATTTTAAATGTTTCTGGTGTCACTGCTGGCATACTTCCTGTACTCCTTGTTGAACTGGGACTGATACCCCAGCTTGTTGATGATGGTAGAATGAGAGATATATGGAATCATGAGGTTACGAGTTGTGGTTGAATACAATCCTGCTATTGTTTATTGCCCTTAGGGCCTCAAAAATGCACAGCATTGAATTGCCCAATCTGTGCCAACCATGCAAAACGTGAGGTGTTGTGTACTCTTAACAAGATGGTCACATTGTTGATGGAATAGATTATTGGTATGCAACAGTGGCCAGTTCCATTAATGCATCATTAAGTTTGACCTAAGGCTGTGAAGGTTACAGAAGAATGTGAAAGAACAGGAAGCTTCTCAGCACTCCCATCTTCTTCCAACTCCCCCAACCCTATGCAAACCCTTGTTTACTCCAAATTTGTTAGTGACCAATGCTGCCCGTGCAGAAATGCAAATGTTGGAGTCTGAAGTAGGTACCCAACAGGTACCCTTGCATAGAAACAGGTCATCAATGTGCTCTATTGTGGTGTAGACCAAAAAATGAGCAGCCTGCCTCCATTTCCTCCATGGCAACATGAGAAATGGTCTATAAGTGTGTGAGAATATAGGACGCTGTCGTTATATTTGTCATATATATAGCTTATTTGTGCACTTTTTGAAAATACTTATAGATATTTGTACATGACTTGGTATATGTTTGTACACAAAACAACTCAAAAAAAGATAAAACTATGAATGTGCTCATTAGGATGGTTTGCTGTGGTTCATCTCAGAATGCTGGCCCCTAGAGCAAGGATGTGGCCTGATTTGTGAAGCATAGAAAAGTCTCTCTCCTCTGTGATGTACTACAGAGAATCCAGAGGTCAAAGACACAACCATCAAGACTTTTCATTGTACCTTTCAATGACCAAGTAAATTGACTTTTAGAGGTCTCAATGATCAGATACCATAAACAGCGACAAGCTTGTACGCTGGGTCCAAGGCACTCGTCTGCACAGCATCGTCTACACATTGGCCTAGGTGTAAGTATCACATTTGGTGGGCCATGTATTCAGGTCATTTTGCTCATCTGAGGTATTTGTTACATTGTTTGTATTTGCATTCATGTTTGCATTGTGAACAAGCCAGAGATACATGAAAGTCGGGAAGGTTGAATGTGCCAGCTACTTTATTAACAGGGCAGTTGGCCTGAATGGATCCTGCAAAACATTTTTCAAGGGGCTGATGTCGCACAATTGTGTGAATATTGTGTGTAAGATGCCATATCTGAATGTATGCTACAACATATGTCAGCCGTGTGAGTAAGGTTTCAAATCTTAAGACATGCTATTATGTGTGCTTGCAATGAGGTTCCTGTTTATGATATATGTTTATGCAGCTATATGAATGTGATTGTAACAAATCAATCGAAGTTTGTTGTTTCCTTGTGAGGGACCAGTCCGTTGTATAATTG